TAAACCCTACACCCTACACCCTAAACCCTACACCCCAAACCCTAAACCCTACACCCTACACCCTAAACCCTACACCCCAAACCCTAAACCCTACACCCTGAACCCTAAACCCTAAACCCTAAACCCTAAACCCTAAACCCTAAACCCTAAACCCTAAACCTCAGGTGGACCGTGCCACCAACGCGGAAGTTCTGTTCAAGGCCCAGTCGCTCAAGACCGAGGCAGATCACCAAGCCGCGGTCGACGCCCTTTTCCGCTCCAAAGTTGCCGGATTTGTACCGTGAAGACAAAATGTCAACTTTAGAATAGTCTGCAAACAACGCAGAAACGCTGTTCGAAGCCTCGTCGATCAAGAACGAGGCCGACCACCAAGCCGCGGTCGCCGCCCGTTTCCGCTCCAAAAATGCTCCAAAGTTTACGAAGTTGTACCGTTGAACCAAGCTTGTCAACTTTACAATAGTCCGCAAAGGGGCCACTTTCAAGGCTGAGTCGCTCAAGACTGAGGCAGATCACCAAGCCGCGGTACTCGCCCTTCCCCGCTCCAAAGTTGACGGATTTGTACCGTAACGCCAAGCTTGTCAACTTCACAATAGTCCGCAAAGGTGCCACGTTCAAGGCTGAGTCTCTTCTCTAAAGTTGACGAATTTGTACCGTAAAGCCAGCAAGTCAACTTGAGAATAGTCGGTGAACGACGCAGAGGCCGCGTTCAAGGCCAAGGTAGACCATGCAGCCAAGGTTTAAGGTGTAGGATTAACAGTTAAGGTGCAGGTTTCAAGGGTTTAGGGTTTAGGGTTTGGGGTTTAGGGTTTAGGGTGTAGGGTTTAGGACGTTTGGTTTAGGGTCTAGGGTGTAGGGTTTAGGGTGTAGGGTTTAGGACGTTTGGTTTAGGGTCTAGGGTGTAGGGTTCAAGGGTTTAGGGTTTAGGATTTCGAGGCCGAGGCGATTCAGCGCACGGCTGATCATGACGCTGAGGTTGATGGTTGAGAGTTCACGGTTTGAGATTTAGAGTTAAGGTTTAGAGTTAAAGTTTCGCATTAAGGTTCAGGGTTTTGGGTGAGCCACGCACACGTTTCCGGGTTCGAACCGGAGACCAGCTGATCTCGTAGCAAAACGGGTTTGATTACAAAACTCTGGCAATGAAATTTACTACACACCACGTGTTTTACCAGTAATATTCAAGCATCCGTGTAGTAATTTTCATTGTATCCAATGGTCTTAATTAAAACCGTTTTCCTATGAGATCTGCAGTTAGCCGCTCTACCACTGACCGCCTGCGGCTCATATACTGACCGCGTGAGGCTCATATACTGACCGGCTGCGGCTGATATACTGACCGCCTGCGGCTCATATACCGACCGCCTGAGGCTCATATACTGACCGGCTGAGAATCATATACTGACCGCATGAGGCTCATATACTGACCACGTGAGGCTAATATACTGACCATGTGAGGCTCATATACTGACCGCGTGAGGCTAATATACTAAAAATGCGAGGCTCATAACGCAGGTGGCGGCGAACAACGCAGAATTCGAAGCCAAGATGGCTGTTGTCGTGGAGGAAGTCGCTGTCCTCCAGGTGCGCCCATAAACCTCAAAACCCTAAATCCTAAACCCTAAACCTCGGAGCCCTGACCCCTCAATCCTCAGCCTCGAATTCTACCAAAACCCCAACACAAAGCCCTAAGCCCGCTGTCCTACAGGTGGGCCCATAAAGCTCAAACCCCTAAACTCTAAACCCTACACCCTAAAACCACCCTAAACCTTAAACCCTGAACCCTGAACCCTGAACCCTGAACCCTGAACCCTGCACCCTGAATCCTGAACCCTGAACCCAACCCTGAACCCTAAACCTTGAACCCTACCCCGACCCCCACACCCCAAACCCCAAACCCCAAACCCCAAACCCCAAACCC